GATGCAGTGGAAGTATGGATTACACATGGCTTGTACTTTTTTCCACTAACATGCCCTGATGTGGGCAAGACAATGGCAACTGTAGTGTGACCAAGCAGTTAATCAGAAGCAAATCCTGGCAGCTAGTTTCTTTCTCACGTGTGCAAATAACCTCACCTTTCCTGTGTGAGGGTTCAGGAACTCACAGTCACCACACATTTACCTTTACTTTTTCAAGCAAGAGTTGTTACAAGGGAGCAGACTGCTTAGAAACTGTGATTAGAAGGAAGTTCACTAGTGCAACAAATGGTTGAACAGACAATAAAAATCAACAGATGCCAAACTATTTGAAGCCTGTTACAGAACAAAAGGCCTGCCTCCTCAAAAGAGATCCAGGGCTGTAGAGCCCAGACAGAAGCACATACCAGCTTGCCAGCCATGCAGAATGAAATCCCCACAGACTGATTTCATCACGAGCAGCAGCTGACCAATAATGATTGACTGGATGGCTGATAGAACAGCTCATTCCTTGTGTTCCTCCATTCCTCAGTCTATCAGAGACAGCAGCAGTGGGCTCAGTTGACACAAGCTATGACTTTTGTCATGAAGGCCTATGGCACATATTCCTATGACATAAACTCACATTCATGGTGAAGCAGTCCTGTATTTTAGCATAATCCACCATGAGCTAAAAAGAAATTTTTTTAATAAACTGACATAACCAGCAAGTCAAGACCCCTGCACCCCAAAATACACCCTGAGCAAGTCTTTAGTTGTTTAGGGAATATTGGCAGGTCTGTCATCTTCTCCTCTAGGATCAAATAGTGCTTTGACACATTGCAGTTACTCCACAGCAATAACCACATCTGACATCACATCTGCATTACAATTCCCACTGCTTCAGCCATAAATTTAGGCCTTATATTTACCAGCAAGGATGCATACCTGAATAGTCATGTGTGGACTATGTAAGTTCCTTCATGAGCTCTTCACTTTTAAAGCAGATCGCTGTAGACATTTCAACGTTTTAGAGAAGAAAGATTCAAACCCAGTGTATGATAAACGATAGAAATTCAGAAGGTCAAGAGAAGAAAGGAAAGACATGGACTAAGAAAAACAGCTCTTGTAAGGTGAGGACTTTAAAATAGAACAGAATAAAATCCTCTGTTGTAAATTCTGCTTTGAAAGGCTAGAAGGCTTCCCCAGACCCACCACCCAGACTGCTAAGCTGAAAGGACCATGCAGAAAAGTCGTTGTGAAGCAAGCAACAGGATAAATGAGTTTACAAGGAGGAGCATACAAGAAAGGAGTACATTTGAGAAAGGCACACAAGGAAGGGAGGGACTGTTGTTTGGAAGCCCAACTCTGTATAACATTTCTAATAAAATGAACGGAGTCATCCAAAGATGTCCCAGAAAACAGAAATTTTCAGTGTACTAGCTTTTTGGTTTGTGTATGTGCTGACTACAGTTTAAATCCAGTCCTCTCCTTAGAAGTCCCACACATTTTAAATAGTTTTGTAATTATATATTTTCATAGCAGTAGACAGTTTTTAAAAGAATATCAGACAAGCCAAGGGAACAAGCTCTTCTTGGACCATTTCCCATCCCTGTTATTTTCATTAAAAAACAAAGAGAGCATTGGTGCACCGAGACTATGGCTGTATGCAGCATGTGCCTGACTCAGGAAACAAGCAGTTTGTTTTTATGCTTATTTCTGGCAATTCAGGCCATTACTGCTGAAAAACATAAAGCAATTCGTATTTCACCTCAAGTATTAGTCTACAGATTCAAAATGTGTGTTCTAAGTCTTAATCTAGAGGGTGTCCCACCTGACTGTCTGTGAAATAAATCTGAACAGAGCACAGCAAAATATTACAATAAGTTGCCTGCATCATTTCAGGCCATATTCATCAAGCAGTAGCTTATGAGTTCTGCATACTGAAAACACATAGGAGCTGGATATTGCGCAATCTAAACCACTGCCCACCACTTCCATTTATACCAAGTTCCTTAAAAAAAGAACAAATTCTCTTATCTACTGTCTATTAGCAGAGTCTCATACAAGCTGATGCTGAATTAAATGGGCTAAAGATGCACACACGGACTGAGGCAGAACAATCTTTCCTTCACAGCTGAGAAGCTCATCTTCGTTTAAGCATCTCATTTTATAAAGGCTTTAAAATCCACATGCTTTGTGGATAATAAACTGCTTTGAAATGTGTGGGTGAGTGTAAGGTATGTACATCTGACTTGAAGACATTTATGTAACTGGCTCCTAAAACAAACATAATAAATAGTGTAGCAGTGGCAGGAACAGCTTCAGTAGCCACAAATTGTGGCAATTGTTTTCCTCTCTCTTTCTTCACATTTGAGTCTTGATCACTTAATATACCTAGTAAATATATGCCATCCATTCTTTCTTGGGAAATAAAATGGGACTCAGTATCCTTAAAATCAGCATTTTAAAACATGGGATAATTCCATCCTGCTGACTTAGCATTGCTCCTTTAAATGGAGCTTCCCATTTGCCATTTATGTACCCAGTTTTCCCTGTTGCCTCCTTACAACCTTCTTTGCTTGAAGGCCAAAATAGCATCACTAAGATATTCAAGGAATCTGTGAAGAAAAGTGCAAAGTGGGACTATTTTCTATATTTCAGGCTAGAAGTATGGTTTATTGGAGACATAATAATGAAGTCATTAAGCCTATTCTTTACCACAGGATGCATGATTTCAGGCTAAATTATTGAAAACTCCATTTTAAATGAGAAGTCTATCAACCTTAGGAGTTGTGAGTACTCTGCGCAGTCAAAGAGTTTTTCTAGACTACTCATTTTCAGATGAGGTGGGAGCCCAAGGGGATATTCAGAGAGCACTCAATGCCTTTCAACCTAACTTACAACAAGACAATGTTAGTTCACACCTAACCGCTAGCAGAAAATAGGAGGGGGGGAAAACAGGAAAGAAGAAACAATCACATAGTCATACTTTGCTTCTGACAGAAGAGTTTGTAATTTGAGAGAAATCAAACCAGGAAAGCTGAAAGCTTAAATGGCATTGCAGCTAAATAGATAGCACGTGCTGAGGAGGAAGGAGAAGCTCACAGCTGTGTGGGGAGAGAGGAGAAGGGTGTTAAAGAGATGTTCTAGGAGAAGAACTTGAACAGGACTTGGTAACTTGGGTATACAGCTGTGTATCTCCAAGTCAAAGGAATGAATACGTATCTCCCTCTCTTTCCTGCCCTTTCTCTATGCTCAGTGGGACTTGGGAAACCCTGGCTCTTGTCACATAGGTAGAGCAACAGATCTCTAATTCTTCATGGAATATAGTACTATGGGATCCTTTCCAGTTTCTGGAAACTTTTGTAAAATACAGAGCATGAGGCTGAATATACACCTGGTCAGTGCTTGTCACAGTGTTCTGAATAGGTGGAGGAGTTTGGAAAGGAGGCACCACTGGCTAAGATGAACGTGGGAGTTCACACTCCTTAGTTTTCATTTTTCTATGTCTTTGCAGAGGGCATTTTCATTCAGCAGAGTGCCTCTCATGGAGATGAACAGGCTACTTCACACTTCTTCAAAAAATTCACTCTGCTTAAAGGTCAGCAGTCCAAAGTCTATGCACACAATTGCATTTCCTTGAAACCAACAGTGCAACATAAATTTGCCATCCAAATACATAAACTTGCCATCACCTGAGTGATTTACAAAATGCATCCTAAAAAAAATAAAATAAATGGCCTCCCTGGAGGTTGAAAGATTGTTGTTGGGGCACTTCTTTGGAATCAAACTATGGCTGCAGTCAAAACACTAAGGAACTCAGTCCTACAATGTCCATCACAGCTGCATAGTGCCTCGGCAGTCAGCATGGAGCAAGCAGTGTGGCAAGGAATAGAACTCTACAAAAAGAAATGAATCTCACACTGGGACATAACGGCTCTAGGAGCAGCCACCCAGGCTGCTTCCCCTTTTCAGCTGGAGCATGGCACATTGTTCACCTAAGAAGACTTGGCTGACTGAGTCATTCTTCAGCCTACCCTGTGCACATGCTGGGGCCTGGAAAGCTCTTGCCCAACTCCCTGCTGTACTCAGAGTTGGTCTGAGAGTCAGCAGGAGAAAACAGAGCTGAAAACCACTAGAAGTCTGGCCAGCACACAGTCCCTTGTACTGAGCTGACAAGTTTGGCTGAAACTGGAGCAGGGTGTTCACAGACAGGCAATGTACAAGCAAAGCAAAGTCTATTCATATGTACAGGTAAATAACTCTAGAACTATGCAAAGCACTAGCAAGTGGATGCCTTTGCTGCGTATGTACTAATAGGTGCCAGTTAAAAAGGAGTTATTGGTTCCTGAAATATTTGCAGATTAAGAAAACAGGAAGAGTGATGAGCTGGAGGTCATAGCCAACAGCTGCATATAGCAAAATGTTCAAGGAGGAAAATTAACATTTACTCACATTTCATGCATTAGTTTTTTTGCTATTGCTGTTGCTGTGTGGTTGTTATATTATTATTTATAGAACGAGACTTGTTTAATGGTTTCCTCTCTCTTCACATCAGAGAAGACAAGACCACAGCATATACTGCAGTGTGACCAAGTGCCCAATCGCAAGGAAGAAGTACACAATCTCTCCATCCCAGCCACAGCAACATTTCAGTTGCTCCTGTTGCTAAAGCAGTGCAAAAGAAACATACTTCCAATTAAAATATTTCTCTTTCGTTAAAAGGCAGAGTGCTCACACATTTTATAGTTGTTTATAGCTGAGATGACCTTCCTATCACGTTTAGCTTGGGTCAGTCAGAAATAGTGGTCTAAAAGGGAAACTTTCCACAACCTATTATCAGTATCTTGAATCAGTGATTTCCAAAATGTGGGCCACTGACAGCTGGTTGGTCACATGTGGCTGGCACTCCTTCCTTCTCATTGCTACTTCAGTCTGAACACTGCTAAAAATATACCAAATGGTTTCCTAATATGCTTTCTCATGTGATCACTAGCTAGTGTTGAAATGAGGATGTAAGAAAGACCAAAGACATAAGAGGTGCGAGAGTGGTGCTCCACGTGTTAGGAGATGATAAAAGGAGGCATGGCTTTTCAAGGAAATGTGAAGAGCAAAACTAATCTCCTGCTTCAGGAAGAAAACGGGTATGTCAAACATGATGTATTGGAAAATACCGTTTCAGTTCAAATTGTTGAGGAATGTGTAGATTTCTTTTCTTTTTTTAAATGATTTTTACATTTTCTACTGTTTGCATCTGCAACTTCATCTTATTCTGAGACCACAGTAATTATTTGTAGCAAGAACTCTTTTGCTTCAAAATTTATCTTCTGCCCAGCTGGTATAGGGAGGCCTGGGCTCTAGGGTATGTTGTCAGATGCCCAGTAGTTGAGAAATAACTTCTAAATACGGAGTTTCACAAACACCAATTAAGAAATGTGTGTTGTCTGATCAGCACACTCTTTTGCCATTTGGGTATCTGAGGTTGTGTCGGGCAAAGAAATTCTGCATTTCGCTTGCCTAACTACCTGCCAAAGTGCCAGAGATCATCACATGACCCTAACATCTCTGACTCCTGGCCATGGGCTAAGTCAAGTATGAGTGCACTGTAGTGCAGTGCAGACATTTCAAGAAACATTTGGATTAAGACTGATCTTTAGATCTTTCATAGAGCAAAAAATGAGAATAGAGTTCTGACCAGTTTTTCTGGCAGCACAAGACATTCACAGGCATGGAGGGTGGATCTATTTAAATAAATTTTAAGAAAGGAGATAAGCCAGCCAACCCTCATTTTGTGTCCCCTATGCGTCACTTTGTTATCCTGGACAAAATTGGGTGGTGTTGCTTTGAAGCCTTAGAGAGACCATAGCCTTACTGGGGCAGTTTGGAGCCTCAGGCTGAAATACATGTTGTAATACCTAGCAGATCCCTGACCGCAGATTCCAGACAGGCCAGGATCTCTCAGAAGCCTGGGTGATGATATCACCAGTCTCCACAGAGGGTGGGATCTGGGAGCCTTTTCCAAGAAGATCTCAGGCTTCAGGCTGGACAAATAAAGCTCTCACATGCTTTTCAGCCAGGCAGCTGCATGTAGTTTAGCAGGAAGCTCTTTGTACTACGTGACCGGGTCATAGGCATAAACAAAAGGGCACTGAGAGACTGTGTTAACAGCCTGGTTCTCATGTCCATCTGTGTGATATTCATGTCACTAAAACTCAAATGCTCACAAGAGGAACTTGACATCAAATGTGCATGCTGCAACATTTGCTGTAAAGGGAACAGTAAAACATTCAGGTAAGACATGCACTTGCAGAAGTTTCACTGCTACTGAAACAATAGCCGAAGGGTAAGTCTTCAGTAAGAAGTAGACAGGAATTTAACCATTCTGCTTACGCTAATGCCCCTGAAATTTATCTTTAAATTAATCCAGGAACAGAAGGACGGCCTATTCCTTTAATGAGAAATAAATCAGGGGAACAACAGTTGAACAGTCATCTGAAAGAAGTAAGAGAAAGGACACTGAGATCCTCACCTCCCCCAACATATTGGATTTAAACGTGCAATCAGATTCAACTTCAGTTGAAAAATGTGGGTTATTGAACCCTCATAAGGAGCCTATTTAAGTTGGAAAGTAAGAGAAGTTGCTGCAGAGTGACAGCTACATGTGACAGGGAAAAAAAGAGAACAGGCTTACGGAGACTGATGCCCAGTGTTACTGTTCACTCACATCCACAGCACAACAATGAAGGGAAGAAAAGAGACTGAAAGGACACAGCTTGGAAGAATCTGTTAAATGCATTATAAAATTCACTGCTTTAAGTCTCTTGTTTAATTTATTCGACTTTGTACTTTATTCTTTCCAGGACCCTCTTTTCTCCATTAACGAATGCATTGGAACAATAACAACAAAAATAAAACTTTGTTGTCTCCAGTAATGGTGCCCTTTAAACAAATGATGGGACTTCTCTTAAAACAGGACAGGAAATTGTATTGGGTCAGGTCTTTGCTCCTCTCCTGAATTTGATGACAAAGCAGCAGGCAACAGTTTCCCTAATACACCTCAATTTTTTGCAGCTTTAGTGTTCGTCACCCTCCTCCAACATTTGCTTTTGGAAGCCTGCACACCTTAAGGAGGCTTCTCCAGAAAATGAGAGAAAAAACACAGCAGCAAATTGGGCTGACTGAGTCATTGGTGTCTTGCCTTTGAGCAAGACCACACAGTGCTTTGACATGGAGGTGGGAGGGTTTTGCGCAGCATATCCCTCTGGAGAGTGAGCTGCAGAGAGAAATAAAACAGCGCTTTCTTGCAGGTGGAATCACAGGGCTAAAAGCTCACAGAAACTCTGCCTCTATGGGAAATGGCCTAAACCCACCAGACAGCATAAACATCTGGATCTAGCCTTGCAGTTGGGCTCAGGCTGTGAAATCAGACCTTGACTCAGAATTAGGGAAAACAAGCTATTACCCATGACTGAGGAAAAAAAGGTAGCCTAGTCGTATGGAGGAGCCAAAGCACTGTTGCCTTCATCTTGTGGTGGGGAAAACAAGGGGACAACTGCTTGAACAAATGACCTCTATCTCCCCCTGTGGTCAGATACAAACAAGGCTGATTGCTTTGCAAGGAAGAAAACTGCTGCATTTTCCTACTTCTGTGGGAAATTGCCTTCTGAGCACAGCAGCCAGCCAGCTCCCTGTAAATTGTCGTGCTTACCCTGGAGTAGAACTGGTCCCCTGATTTTTGGGGCACCTGTTATCTTTCTCAATATAAAATGGCCAGTTGGATCCTGTTATGACAAACGTCAATCCCAAGACAGCCACAGATCTGTCCCTTACCAACAGAGGAGCTGAAATTAGGAAGAACTTCTAGTGACCTGCTGAAGGTTACCAGCTGCCTTCATGTCAGCACCAAAATTGCAATACCAGACTAACTGGCCTTCAGTCAGATGTTTGGCCCCACCTATCCTATATATAGATTATTAAATCATATGTTCCCCCTTATTGCTATGCAACTGGGTGTCAGAACAAAAACACAATTAAACACTGTGCTTTTAGCCACACAGAACCAGATGTTGGGAATATTTTTCTTCGTTGCACTTGTCAGAAAGGTAGATGAAATCACTAATCGATACTCAAGCTGATTTCATCTCAGGAAGGGAATGTGTTGCAATTTCTCTATTGAAAAACCTTAATTTGAATATAGTAGGAGCTGACTAAGCCCTCTTGTATCAAAGCCAAGTGTCACGTCAACCTGAGAAAGAGGCTCATAAACACTCTTTTCATAGCCAGTTCTTATTCTGCTAGAGAATGGGCATAGTTCTTCTCAGTGAAGCCTCAGCTCTGTGGCTTGTACTGCTATTGCCTGGAAGCCATGAATCCAGCTTTTCTCAAGGCTAGGAATGGTGACAGCACCTCTTTACCCAGCCTAAACCTCCTAGCTGTGCCTTAAATTGGTGGTTAAGATAGCTGGTTCAACAGATGTTACCTTTATAAATATTTGTGAAATTGCTCTACATGAGAGCATCTTGAAGGCTCTGAAGCTGATCATTTTTTTCTGATGTGCCCTAAGGCAACATTCTGGCTACAGTAAATCAACAGAAGTTTACCACTGAGTTTGCTCAGGCCAGTTTTATATCTTAGGGCTCTCAGTCACCCTGATGACAAATCAGGGAAAAATTTGCTCCAGGTTGGAGACTTGTTTTCCAGCCTGTCTCTCTCTTGCCTTATTATCTCCAGTAAGTAAAATAGAGATATAAATTCACTCACTGAAGGGTTCTTCTTCCTCATGTTTTATGCTTTTGATCCATACAAGTACCCAAAGAAATTGGTTTCCAGCTATTGGTTTAGCTCAGCTTCTAAAAAAACACAGGGGACTGCAACCACAGCGACCTGTGAGGAAGCAGGGCCTAGTGGTGCCATAGTACTCTCCTGTTGACATATTTTCCCCTCTCTAATTTTTATACATATTCTTATTTTAAGTGTATGTACACAAAAACGGAATTTGTCTGTTTGGTACTTTACATTACTTTCATTACAAAACTGCGTAAAGAAGACAGCAAATCAATTTCATAGTCAGTGCTCACACAGCAGGAGGCAATTCATACTGACATCTGATACCTGCTGGCTGCTGCTTCCAATTATGCCAGATGCCAGAGAGTGGGGCTGTCGAAATAACAGTGTCGACGATGCAATCAAACTAGTTAAGATTCTGGAAGTGTGTTTCGCTTGGTTCAGTGCGTCATCAAATTCCCACCATAAGCAAAATAGTGACACCTACTCCTTTTTTGTTAACTTTTTAACAGGCAAAGAGATACACATTAATTCAATGTAAAGTTGCATCTTTGGATATATAGCTGACTCTGCCCCGAGGCGAACTATCAGAAGATTGGAAGGAATGAAAATGAAAAGTGAAATAAACACGATAAGGATTTATTATAATACATCCTTACTAGATCCTACTACAAGGCTGCATTCCAGCCCTCAAGGCAAGACCATGTGTAGTGCCTGCCCAGGGTCTTGCTGTACATAAGGGAATGCTGCTATCATCAAATCAAATGTGCCTAGCTGACGTTGGCTCAAAGCTTGTTGAGCAGGAGTAGGAGTAGAATAATAGAGGATACTGCTGAGGCATTAACTGGACAGCAGACAGGACTATTTGTCATGCAAGACAGAAAGCAGAGAGCAGGTTTGCTTGGAAACAGTGCAGCATAGATACCTAAACTACTCTCTTCCTACTTCCCTGAAGCTAAAAAGAAGAAAAGTAGAAGATGATTGCCCTGGCAAAGTATATACTCCTTCTCGCTGACTGCCATCTTCCAAAAAAGATGGCTGATTAAAAAAAAATGCACACATCCAGAAGGAACACATTGCCCCCACATGTTCTATGCCTGATCTTCCATGAAGAGATCTCCCAGAGGAGGCACAGTCTTGCCATTCTTTCAGTTTCTTCCAATAGACTTCAAGCTAAGGTTTCCCTCAGCAAAGGTGTTGTGAGGTCAAACTTACCTGTCACTCCTATGCGAGGTAGATCACTAAAATATGTTGCCCAAAAAGATGAGAACAGGAACACAAGATAGCAACGCAGCACCATCCACAAAGACTCCACCAACAGCTCCAGTTGGCCTTAGCTTGTCAATTAGCACAGCCAGAGGCTCTCCCTAGCAGATGCTTCATAGAAAATTCTGAACTACATCACTAACAGCTATCCCTAGGATTGACTACGTTCCTTGCAGAGCACAGAGGATGCTGCTCAGAAAGGGCATAAAAGTACCTCAGGCTGACCTGTACACGCTTCAATGAAGCTGTATCAGCTTTTCTGTGTGCAACCACTTCAGTCAAGTGCTACATCACTATGCTCGTGCAGATATACCATACATCCTCACTGGAATTGCAGTAAGCCTAGCTTCCAGACTCCAGAAAAGAGGGAAATGCTACTTTACAGATATAATCATTTTCCAAGGAGGCATCGCACAAAGTACATGATCTTCAAAGCCACTGCACAGTTACAAGTTTCTATTCTCAGATCAGGAAAGTGACTACACATCTCAAGTGGCAGCACCTACAAACTTGTATTGAAAAGTATTGAAAAAGCAGGGGCTGAACAACAAACAAAACACTCAGCTGAGGTAGTCAGCCAAAGAAAAGCCATAGCATTCTGTTCCAAAATGGACAAGATCCACTAGATTTAAAAAGACAGTCACACTAATGCTGTTAATATTAATTTACAGTAATTGTAAATGCCAACTGAAGCTTTCAAATGCTCTAATCAAAGATTTCTAAATCTACTACATCTGTGTTAATTCTCAATTGATACATTTTAAATATGCACTAGGGTTTTTTATTAGCAGAATAAATACCTGTCATATTAAATCTAAATTAAATACATAGTTGGGACTCTCATTTAGAAGAATGTTACTCTTAAGTCTTTGAGACAACAAGACCTATGGCTACCTTAATCTCAAACACTATGTGACGCTGGCAATAATTCTGTAATGCACCAGTGCCTCAGTCTCAGTTACACTCCATAGTACTTTACCTCAAAAATGGGAGAAGTTCAACAAGACTGCAGTCTTTTCACCTAAGCATCTCCACCTCCTTTAGAGGGAAGAAATAAAAGTAATCATCAAACACACAGGAGAATTCACTGAACCTTCAAATTATATCCAGTTCTCCTCATCAACTTAGATTGAGAGTGTGGAGAAGAGGAAATGTTTATTTGCACGAAAAGCATGTCTTTTGCAAAAATATTCATATACATAAATAAAGACAGACCGTAACTTAATTTCCTTAACTAAAAAACCTGTTTACACTAAAATAAGCTTTCATTTCTAAACTGCACAGATAAGGGAGGAAACAGGAAAATAATTTTTCTGTTGTGTTTTCAGAAGCTCCACACATAAGATCATTTTTCTGTAAAAATCTGTTTCTAATTAGAACCCAGCTCTGTAAATGACTTTCATTTTGCAGTTATAATTCTTGACCATTTTTAACAGACATTTGAAAGTGTTAAAGGCTTTTAAAACTAGTTTATCTCTGCTCCTTACACTACACCAGTGTTCTTCCCTAGCATCTAGACACTACTGTTCATGTTCTACAGAAACAAAAATAGAACAACAAAAAGAGACAAAAGCACTTACTCCTACAAGATTATGTTATGTCTGAATTAAATTATAAAGAACAGAAGTAACAACTAATACGTGGATGTGCAGGGGGAAAGAAAAAAGCACAAGGGCTGCAGTAATAAGATCACAAAGCTAATTTCAGGCTCCAGTGCCTTACAACTTCAGGGAGGCAGGGCTTTGCCTGAAGAAGGAGTGACCAGGGAAGAAAAATCTACAATTGGGCTGAAATTTTTCAAGAGCAGTTTTTCTCGGTGTGTCCTGTTATTTATGTTCTGCCTCTCCTACACTGTACAGAGAAGGGAAGATGAGGGAGAGGA